TTTTTTTTTTTTTTTCTTTTTTTTGGTACCAGGACTAAAATTTAGGACCTTTCACTTGCCAGGCAGGTGCTTGTACCACTGAACTACATCCCTGGCCCAGGTTTGGGTACTTATTAGCCATGAACTTGAAGAATAAACTTTTTGTTTCTTTGTGAAATAAAAAATAAAACATTACAATGAAAGTAAACATTAAATGTGTTGAAGAATACATACTGGTAATAGCAGAGTATGGTGGCACATGCCTATAATCCTAGCACTTGGGAGACTAAGGCTGGAGGATCACTGTGAGTTCAAGCCCAGCCTGACTTTTACATAACAAGACCCTGTCCAAAAAAAAAAAAAAAAGTAATGTGATGAGCCATACTTACCACAAAATAAGTTCTCATTACAACCTGGCATTAACCTTCCTTTGTGGGCCAGGTATGGTGGTGCACATCTGTAATCTCAGCACTCAGGGATTACACCACATAGATGTTTCTACTGGCATTGGACTGAATATGTGATGGCCGTTGTACTAAATTACAATGTAGCAAAAAAAGTACCTTTCATCTAGTGACAAAGCCATTATGACCTCAGGACATAATACTGGTGATACAGGTATAGATAAACATAATATGGGGGGCCAGGAATATAGCTCAGTGGCATAAGCCCCTGCCTGGCAAGCACAAGGTCTGGAGTTCAATCCTCAGGAACACCCCCCCAACACACACACACTTCACGAAAAACAATTTAGAACAGGAAAAACTGGCACCACATGCTATACTGGCACTGCAGCACACTGAGCCAGTGACCCATGCAGGCAGTTGTGGCACATGCCTATGATCCCAGTGCTGGGAGCCTGAAAACAGGATGATCACTGCGAGTCCAAGCTGCGTAGTGAGACCCTGTGCTAAATACATTTAAAAAAGAAAAAAAAAAACCAAAAACCATAGTATGCTGTCCTAGTGTTGCAGGAAAAATTAGTTAACAGTAGGTAGGAGCTCGGGAGAAATTTTATTGATGCTAGCAGAGTCCAGAGGAGGAATCTCTAAAGTCTGAGGCATTGATTACACAGAGCTTGTCTTTTATAGGATGGCAAACAAATTAAAAAATTGAGACAAGCTTTAGCTGAACGTATGGTACAAGGGGTATCTTGTGATGTGCAGTTACATGTAGCAACATTTTTGGCACATTTGCATAAGTTTCAATTTGATGACAAATCCTATAATTTAGCTGAGTTCAGTGGCCGAGAACAGAATACCTGGAGCTTTATTCAACAAAATGGCTGCATTTAGGTCAGAATTTCTGCTTCAACAGAAGTGCAGTAATACAATTATGTACAGTACATAGTTCTTGATAATGAGCAACTATGGTACTGGTTTACATACTTATTACACTACGCTTTTCTCATTTTTGTCTTATGAAGTTTGTTGGTACAATTTAGATATACATAACTATCACGTTCATCATGCGGAATTTGTGCCTGTACATATCTTGAATCTTTCTCAATTTTACTGTACTCAAAAGTTGACTGTAAAATAAATTACTGGTAGTGGTATCTTATTTACCATGCCTCTTAAGTGCATTATAGGGGGTTTCAAGTGACCTGTGCTAACTATCCATGTGCACTGTTAAAATGGTCACATGATGAGGTAAACCACCCAATGACAGATTTCTCAGAATGTACCTGTAGTTATGCCATACACTAAGTACTTAAATACTCTATGAGAATAAAAGTCGTATAGTGAAGCTGTGTATATATTTTTTTCTATTACTGGAAATTGAACCCAGCAGTATACTTAGCTACATACCCAGGCCCTTTTTTCTTCTTTTGAGACTAAGTTGCCCAAGCTGGTACAGAACTTGATAGCCTCCTGCTTCAGTCTCCAGAATGCTAGGAATGTACCACCGTGTCTGGTTTCCTTTTGAGTTTCTTAGTCACAAAAACCAACGTCTAGCACAGTGTGTGCTACGTTGCAGGATATCAGTATTTGTTAAAAGAGTTTCATAAAGCAGAAAGTATTACATTTGTCATAATAAAAACCAGTTTCTTTGTTCTTTCCTGTTTGACAATAGCCAGTCCTAAAATTTATAAAATCCTCTTAACTGAAAAAAAACCTTTTCTTCTAAAACATGTATCTACTATTATACTGTAATGTTAAAACTTCCATTGTATAACTAAAACCAGTGTTTACATATTAAATACACATCAGTGCCTTAGTTCACAACCCAGTTCTCAGGTCAATGTTGAACATAACCATTGAATTTTTGGTTTTTTTGTTTTTGGCAGAACCAGGGATTGAACTCAGACCCTTGCGCTTGCCAGGCAAGCACTTATTCAATGAGCCATCTCCTCGGCCTGAATTTTTGTTATTGTTCATTTGTTTTTGATACAGGGGATTAAACTCAGGACCTTGCACTTGCTGGGTAGGCACTTAAGCCACTGAGCTATCTCCCCAGCCGTTTTTTCTTTTTCTCTCCTTTTTTTAAATTTTTTTTTTAGATAGCATCTCACTATGCAGTTGTGGCTGGCCTTGTACTCACTTTTATAGCCCCCAGTGGTCTTGAACTTGCAAAGATCCTTCTGTCTCAACCTCCTGAATGCTTCACCATTCCCTTAATTCAGTTTCTGTCCAACTTTTTTTGAGTCCAGAATCATGGAAAGAAACAAGCTTGGGCCATGGAGATGGTTCAGCGGTCTAAGTGCCTGCCTAGGCAAGCACAAGCACCCTGGTTTGATCCCTGATACAAGCTGAGCCACCCACCAAGACCGGGTGTGGTGGTACAAGCCAGTAATCCCAGCACTAGGGAGGCTAAAACAGGAGGATCACTGAGTATAAGCTGCATACTGAGACCCTATTCCAAATACATAAAATTGAAAAGGGGGTGGGGGTTGGGGAGATAGCTCAGTAGAATAAGTGCTTCCCTGGCAAGCGCAAGGGCCTGAGTTCAACCCCCAGTTCCACCAAAAAAATAAATAAATAAGAGCTCATGAATCAAGATATCACTGTAAAAGTATCTTAAATACTATATATATTTCAAATGGGAATGATTTCCTCGAATAGTTTTATCATTGAACTATCTTCTTACCAGAAACTAAGTATTTGTTTATAGATGGAGCGTAAGATTGCCCTAGAGTTGAAATGACAACACTTTTCAGATGGCTATCTGTTCCACTGGACAAACATACACCACAAACCACTACAACTAGGTAATCAGAAACCTGATTCCTTTGCTCTTGGTGATCCTGAGCCTACTTCAGCATAGGCCTATGGAAGTTTCAACATAACCATATATAACATTCTTCAAAGTTAGCCAATTTGCCAGATATGTGCACACCTGTAATCTTAGCACTCAGGAGACTGATGCAAGAGGATCACTGTGAATTCAAGACCAGCCTAGGCTACAAAGTGAGCTCAAGGCCAGCCTGAACTGTATAGTGAGATACAAGTCTGTCTCAAAAAGACAACCCCCCCCCAAAAAAAACCCAAAGTTGGCCAGTTCAAACAAATAACAGAAATTTCAGTGCATTGAACATGCCGATTTATTGCTTTAAAATATGTCTATGTACACAGGTGCAGAGTTTCCAACTCTTACAACAGCTTTTTACATCAAAGAATAAAATTTTTTCAGAATTTCAAAGATGCATAGATTAAACAGCAAGCTGCCTTCTGTAACACTTCAAATGTACCCATTTTAATATTTTTCTATCCCAATTATGCAATGGAGGATATGTAGAACAGCAAGTAAACACAATAAACAATTCCTGTACTTAAAGGATGGTAAATAAGCTATTATGAAATACATGCTAACATTTTAAAATCTTTTTAATTATACAAGACAAGTGGTTGTAAAGTTAGTGCCAAAACTAATACAGTTGTTTAAAGACTTATGAAAACATATTGCTAGAATACATTTTTTTAAACCCCTGGATGGGAAAAAGGTATGTATTTTTTTGCGAGGCTGGGAATTGGACCTGGGCCC